ATTTCTGCGGGATTTCTCGGGTTCTTCCCTTTTGGCATCTCTCGGGGTGGGCAGTGGAGCCCCCAGAGAGGCTGTGTGTGCCCCATTCCCCCAGGGATGAGCTGTGCCGTGTCCTTTGGGACATCCAGAGCTGTGCCCTCCGTGATGATTTGGCTGGTGGTGTTGGTGCTCACCATGACTAAAATCCAGGGGCTGTGCTCTGAGTAGCCAGGGCCATCAGGAAGGGATGGAATTTGGTGGCACTGAGCTGGTGGAGCCCATGGCAAAGCAGGGACCGCAGGCTCTCAGGCTGTGCTGGGAGCATCCTTGTTTTCTCCCCAGAAATCTTCCAGTGGGGCAGTAAATAACACATAAACGAGGGAGAGGCAGTCGTGTAAAATGTAGAGCCCAAAATGCCTGGGAAGTTGGTTCAGAGCCCAAAATGCCTGGGAAGTTGGTTCAGGGGCTGCTGATCACTTCTGCCATGGCATGGAGGTGACAGGGAGGGTGAGCCTGGCACTTTGCTTGCATTGGTTGTGTGTTCCTTATCCCTGTGAGGATTTGGGGTACAGTTTGGAGCTGGCATCCCCTCCCCAAACAGTGCTTGCTGAGAGGAGCTGCTGCCCCCTCCGGGACAAATCCTGGTGCCAGGGACAGCTCTGGCACCCAAGCCTGGCCTGCCCAGTGTCACTTGCTCAGGTGACAGCACAGCTGGGGGCTGTAATCCCCATCCATCTGCTTCCTCTGTGATTTATCCCGCAGCAAAATAGGAATAAGCAGAGCACTGAGTCAGCCACTCTGCGAGCGGAACTTTGGTAGGGCTGGAGGAAGAATTTGTAGCAACTCAGAAGGAAATTGCCTTCATTTTTCTTTTTTTTTTTTTAAATTTTAAAAGAAGCAGAGGATTGGGGTGGGGTGTGGGCTGGGGGCGTTTTAATCTTAGAATTACAGAACTGTGGGATCCCAGAAGGGTTTGGGTTGGAAGGGACTTTAAAGTGGGCAGACGTTGGCATGTGGGGCTTCCAAAAGCTGCAGGTGGTGCTGCTGCCAGCTGAGCAAGGGGAAAAGGGGCAAAGCAGCCCAATCCCTGTGCTGGGATGGAGCTGGCAGAGCTCAGTGGGTGTCCCTGCGTGTGAAAAACACCAATCACTTGTTTTTAAAATTTTAACAGTTTAATAGTAATAAAATGGTTATAAGAATAGTAATACAATTAGAGTAATAATAATTTTGGCAATTTGGATTAGGACAATATGAGACAATAAAACCAAAGAGTTACAGACAGTCCAGATACCTTTTTCTGGGCAAAATAAGCCTGAAAAAGACCCACATTAACAGAGGATTAACCCTTAAAAGCAATAATCTTTTGCATATTCATAGACTTCATACATTATGTATAAATTCCATTCAAACACAGGATTCTGTCTGGTCAGTGTCAGCTTCTTCCTCTTAATCCTCACAGCGTCTTCAGGGCTGAGTGAGGTGGGAAGAAGTTCATTTCTTCTGATAATGGAGCAATAAATTCTCTTTCTCTGAAAGATTCAGGTGTCCTGTGGCTGCTATCTCACTGCAAGTCCTTTCTTTAGAACAAATATCTTACATAGCCGAGTTTCTACTTTAACATTTTGTTATCACTGTGGGAATCTACAAAATTAGGTGGTTTTGGGGACAAGCTGCAAAAGGCAGGCTTCAGATACAGCATTGATACTTCCCATTGTCATAATCATGTTGTGAGACTGATGCTGGAGAAGAAACAGCTCAAAGCATTTTCCACAACAGCCACGTCTCTAAACAGGCCCCCTTGCCAGCGCCAATAACCTCAAACTACATTTAACGCATTACCCAAGAAAACCAACACAGCATACCTTTCTAACACAACACCCATAATACTGACTTTAATTTTTGCGAGAAGCCAATGATAAAATACAGATTTTCTTGCCCCCCTGTGCAGGATGTGTGACAGGAACGGTGGGCGGCGGCTGCGGCAGTGGCTGATCGAGCAGATCGACAGCGAGCTCTACGCGGGGCTCATCTGGGAGAACGAGGACAAGTCCATGTTCCGCATCCCCTGGAAGCACGCCGGCAAGCAGGACTACAACCAGGAGGTGGATGCTTCCATTTTCAAGGTAGGGAATGGCTTTTTCTTGGTGGTTCCTT